CAAAAATCAATATTTTTCCGAAAAATCCTTGCTGCCAAGTTTTGCAAATTTTTAGTACAAATGTAGTTGGTACTATCCATCGACTTTTTTTTGAAAATCGTCACGACTGATCCGAAACTTCCAAAGGTCTTGTGAGTGCATTTTTAGATTGCATTTTCAATTTAGGCAATTTAAAAACCTCCCGAAGGCCTATTTCCAAAACTTAGGCAGTAGCTTGGATTAGTTTTTTTCCTCTTGACCTGATTTTCTTGGGGGTATTCTAGGCATTTTAAAATGTATTTTTTTTTGTTTCCGTCCACTTTTTAGGTAGGAAACTTGATTTTAGGGGGGGTTTCTTCTTTGAGTTTTTCCAAAAAAGTCCGTCTAGATACCCGTTTTTACTCTCAATTGCAGCAGTGGTGGGTTGTCCTCGTCGGGCCGCCACGACATCATTTTTATTTTTAACCTTTCTCCCCCGTCCGGACTCCAAATTGAGTAAAAAAAATTTTGAACGTGACTATTTTGTCATTATCTTTCCAGCGGTGTGCTCGATCGCACCTGAATCCACTTTTTACAAAATGACTATTTTGCCCCTAGGTTCTTTTTGTCTGTTTTTTAAACGACACTTCTGTATTTGTTTCCTTTGGGTTCTGTGACCTCATTGAGGGTCACATTGGTGTCTTAGAGACGCATTGTATCTCTAGAGACCGTTGTTTCACCTTTCGCTTCCGCATTTCGAATCCATTATCGGGTCATCTTTTGGTCATCACTGACGCACCGGGTTTACAAAACTTGGGCCATCACAAATATGCTCTGTGATAGGGAATAATAAACCTGACCTACTTTGACCAGTCGCTGGACCTTTTCGGTGATCAAGGATAATATTTCATTATTAGAGGTAACGATTTTCAAGGATAAAAATGATCACAATTCTTATCAAGGATAAGATCTCTATGGGATAAGTTTCATGGGATGATAAAATTCTCTTATCAAGAATAAGGGAATCGATGATAAATAAGACAACGACTCAAGAATAAGGTACGATGAAAAAATTATTATCAAATCCCTGCCTTCCTTTTTAGACCTCCAGTGACTAACTTGATCATCGGAGAGCTCTTGGCAGACACCACACCGGTGTTGTCAAGGTTCATCGATCTTCTCCTTTTTCCCTTGCAAGTAAACGGTGTCGTATCGGACCTTGCGGATTTCACCCTCAACAGTTGGCGCCGTCTGTAGGAACGATGATTCCCTTGAATCAATTAATTACTTGGTTAGGTATATACGTTTACAGTCCGGTATGGTTACCGAAGGAACATCGTCACAGGGATCTGGTCAAAGGGTAGAGTCGGGTGAAAACCTAGATGTCCCAAACAACCAGACATGGCTTGCAGTGTTAGAACTGCAGGTCCAAACTCTGAGTCAGAGAATGGACCAGTTGATCCAGCAAAATGCAACGCTTCTGCAACATCTTGTTCCACCGATTCAATAAAACTTGCCACGACAAGATTTCTCACCAAACGGACGGAATGGGAATCTTGCAAAGCAGGATAATCATCCTTCCCAAAACGAGACCGAAGTGGAACAAAGCCAGGTGGGAAACCGACATATAGAGGTGGTACACCCATCTCTCCAAAGGAATTCCCGACCTCAGGAAGGCACAACTTTCTGTCTTAAGGAAAAGACAAAGATAGTTACCTATTTCGACCTGCTCCTTTGTACCAGGTCATTTACGACGGCAGGACCTTTCCCTTTCATAGCCTGCATTACATTTTCCATTTTCCCCTTGAGATCCTCGACCTGGTACAAAGGACCCACTTGCCTTTCAGCCCCGCCGTTATGAAATGTCCACTGCCTAGCAAAATCAAGATGCCCTCATTCGAAAACTTCGATGGGACCAAAGATCCCCTCGATCACCTAGAAACCTTTCAAGCTCTTATGCATTTACATGTCGTACCAGACGAAATTATGTGCTGAGCTTTTCCCACTACACTTAAGGGATCAGCAAGAGTTTGGTTCAACAAGCTGAAGCCAGGAACCATCAATACCTTCGAAGAATCGAGTAAGCAATTTGTGAGCCACTTCATTGCAAGTCAGAGGCATAGGAGGTCAGCCACTTACTTGTTTACTGTGAAACAGCAGGAGGGCGGGTCGATCCAGGAATACATTACCCGATTCAACACAGAAATGCTGCAAGCAGAAGAGGTGGACGACAAGGTGGCCTTGACCATTTTCATAGGAGGACTCCAAACCTCCAGATTCTTGTTTGCCCTATCCAAAGAACCTCCCACCAGCATGGCAGAGTTGTTCATCAGAGCGCAAAAACACATGAACGCTGAAGACGTTATGAATGCACGGAAGGGAAAGGAAGGAGAGGATAAGAAGAGATCAGCCCGTCTCACCAGGGATGAGGAGGATCCAGTTATAAAAGATTATTCTTCAGCCAAAGCGATGGGACATATAGTGAGGAGGACTCAGATAAGTATACCGATTAAATTGCCTCACAACTAGAATTAGCCTTATCAAGTCATTCAAAATAAAGACTGGGGGCATCTCAGTTCATCATTTTACATGTTATTTTATTTTATTTTCCAATAAAGTCACCATCACTAATGAGGTAGATGACCCTCAATTTCTATGCAATAAAATATTATATTTTCAGTTCCATACTACTTATGCGGTAATATTAAGCTCATAATAATCTATTTATCTCCTTAAAGGGCCAACTACGCATTCTTCCCTTATTAAAGGGACAAGAAACCGACTACTCCGTCTATACAGAAGGGTAAGATAATTAAAGCTTCCTTCATTTACTAGAGAGGCAGGACGACTACTTCCCGTATTACAAGGGATAGTAAATGAGTGTCCTGTACTAAAAGGACCCGAGCTGAATGAATCCCGTAATCAATATCCCCGTATTATAAGGGATAGTATTAAAAGGATCCGGGCTGAATGAATCCCGTAATCCATATCCCCGTACTATAAGGGATAGTAAATGAGTGTCCTATATTACCAGGACTCGGGCTGAATGAATCCCGTAATCTATATCCCCGTACTAAAAAGGATAATAAATAAAAATCCCTTATTAAAAGGACGAGTAAAACTCGTAAAATTTAATTCCCTTATTGAAGGAGTAACGACCTGAGTAAGGTTCGTACAAATCATTCCTTTAGCAGGGGAAGATTACCCAAGGGTATTAAAAATAATACCCAGGGGCAGAGTACCCAAGGGTACCAAAAATAGTATCCCGAGACCGAGTACCCAAGGGTACTAAAAATAGTACCCAAGGGCAGAGTACCCAAGGGACCATTATCCAAGGGAAGTGTACCCGCGACACTGTTCTCGGGAATAGTGCCAAGGGCAAAAAAAAAAAAAAAAAAAAAAAAAAAAAAAAAAAAAATTATTACATTCCCAAAGCTAGACGAGCAAGCTTGGGAATGGGGGGCAACTGATAGGGAATAATAAACCTGACCTACTTTAACCAGTCACCGGACCTCTTCGGTGATCAAGGATAATATTTCATTATTTGAGGTACCAATTTTCAGGGATAAGAATGATGACAAATCTTATCAAGGATAAGATCTCCATGGGATAAGTTTCATGGGATAAGGATGATGAAATTCCCTTATCAAGAATAAGGGAATCGACTATAAATAGGACGACGACTCGAGAATAAGGTATGACGAAAAAATTATTATTAAATCCCTGTCTTCCTTTTTAGACCTCTGGTGACTAACTTGATCGTCGGAGAGCTCTTGGCAGACACCACACCGGTATTGTCAAGGTTCATCGATCTTCTCCTTTTTCCCTTGTAGGTAAACGGTGTCGTATCGGACCGTGCGGATTTCACCCTAAACACTCTGTACGGTCAACTAATAGATAAAATTGATGTTTATAGCTTTGGAATTGTGATTCTTGAAGTCATGAGCGGAAGGAAAGTGGTCGATGCATCAAATTCATCGACGCTTCTGATCACGGATTGGGCTTGGGGGCTTGTGAAATCGGGAAATGTGGAGGAGTTCTTTGATGAAATGATCAGAAAGGAAGGACCAAGAGGGGGTGATGGACAGGTTTGTGCATGTTGGGATACTCTGTGCTCATGTGATGGTGGCTCTTAGGCCTACCATTGCTGATGCTCTTAGGATGCTTGAAGGCGACATTGACATCCCAAAATTACCAGACAGGCCATTGCCTCTCACTCACGAGTCATTTAGATTTTCTTTGCAGTATAGCATGTCTACGAGAGAGAGAGATCAAGAGCCAGCTCAAGCATTATCAGCATATAAATTAAATCTGTGGATCCTTTGATCTAAGAATACCCATGCCAGAACTTCAAAATGGCTGTTTTATGGGAATTTTTTTTTTTTTTTTTTTTAGGACACAAGTTAGATCTGTATGTAATTATACACAGTAATACATGATACATCAAAATAGGATGTAATACTAGAATGAAGATTGAAACTTTTCTGCATTTCAAGATTGCAATGATAGAGAAACTTGACTGCAAAAAAACATAAAAAAAAAAATTGGTTCGACATGAGTGGTCTACCTGCATGTTAAATATGGTTTATCATAGCCTCTAATCATCCTCCTCTTTTATGTGTCGATCAGTTATTCTTTGTACTCATAATTTAGTGCAGGAAATGTCACTTTGACTATGAGATTGTGATTGGAAAGGACCCTTTTGACAATATGTGATGAATGTTTGTAAAAGTAATAATTATATCCGATTTGGTTGGAATTTATGCTTCATTGAGGGAAAAAGAAAATGGATCACATTAGTTCCACTGGAAAAGGAAATGACAGTATTGACCCCTTTGCATGTTTAGATTTAGCCTTAACGAGTTTAGTTGAATTCAGGGACGACCCTGGCCCAAGGCGGCCTTGGGCCTCAGATTTTAGAGGGTCTCAAATTTTGAGGCCCATAGGGGATGGAGAAAACCAAAAAAACAAAGAGTTAGGGCAAAGTCTCAAATTTTAGAGGAAGGCCCATACGACAATCTGCTTTTAAGCTAGGGCAAGTTTTTCAAACGACACAATCTGCTTAGACACTCCGCAGGACGCAGCCTCCGCTATCGCCTCAGGCTCAGGTGACACCGTGACAAGGTATGTTCATCCTCTCTCTCTCTCTTCTCTCTCTTCTTTTGCATGAATCGATGTTTTTGTTTTCCTCTCCCTAAGTCCAATCCAGCTCACAACAGCAGCAACCATACCCATTTTCCTCATAATTTTTTGCATTTTCACATTCCATCCTACGAAAATTAAGGATCCCTTCTAGTGGGTTGAGGACTTGAGGTAATAATTAACTTTTTCGATCTCTAAATTATGCTCATACTTAAAAGTGCCAAAGTAATATTTTTGTTTTTATTTTTTATTTATGTATGAAGATACATGCCACCATTATTGATGTTATTTGAAGTTGGCTCAGCTAGAATTTCAGTTAATAATACTGTCAAAGGCTCAAAGCACTTGCCATCTGAATGTACAAACAAATGGAAATCAAGAGCAGGCTTTAACAAAACAAAAGTTAATGGTTTTTTCTGTTAATTTGCACGGGTCTTCTGTAGCAATGATCAATCAATCACTGCTACTAAAGTTGATTCCTCATCCTGAAATCAAGAGAGGGGTAATTGGCTCCCAAAAACAACACACAAAAACACAACCAAAGCTACATTGAAAACTCCAGCCAGGAGATCAATCGACCAAACTGCTTGATTTTAGATTCTTTTTAATGTTATTTTTATTGTATGATCGGCAATGCTTAGTTATTATTGTTTCCGTTTGATTCTCTCTCTCTGCAACTGCAAACTACAAAATCTACAAGAATCAGAAGTTCAAAACCCATATATTTCAGTTTATCTATCTGTCTGTAAGAATCAAAAGTTCAAAAAACCTATGCTAAAACCCATATCGATCATTTCAGATTGTTCAAAAAATCAAAACCCATATCTTTCAGTTTCCATCGCCCACTGTTCCAGTTCGGGTTCGCCGGTTGCAAGCTTCAGCTGCTGGCCCACTGTCTCTCAACTCTCAAGCTTGCCCCCCCCCTCTCTCTGCAACTGCTAACTTGTATGTATGGGTTTTGTTTTAATTTTGTTTCTAAATCAACTAATCAAGCTCTGTAATTCTTGTTTTGCAAACTAAATCCTATTTGGTGAAATTTTTTATTATCTTTTTTAAATATATATATATATATTTTTTACAATATAAAGTAACAAAATTTGCATTGCATTTTGAGGTAATCACCGTAATCTACATTTTATTTCAGCAAAACAAATATATATATTTTTATTTCTGTAACTTCTATTTCTATTTCTCTTTTTTTTTTTTTTTCCAATTATGTTTACAAGAAAATTTGAATCTGGACATGAAAAAAGAAAAAAAAAAAAAAAGAATCTGAATTGGATTAGAAATCTGCAGAGATTGAATCTGAAACAATTTTTATCAACATGCCAAGCTTTTTGAAGATGGAAATCTTTTCAGAACTAAAAAAAAAAAAATCATAACAAGAACTTTGACAAGCAAAAGTTCTTAATATAGGGTAAAGCTCTAAAGTTACATCTTGAAAATTAAAATACTTACAAAAAGCATGATTTTGAGTGAATTCCGTAGTGTTGGAAGGGGCTTGCCATGAACTACCTCACACTCTGCTTCCACTAGTAGATTCTCAAATAGGATTAGTAAATTGGTGAGAAGAAGAGATAGGGTACTGAGTGGTGAATTGTTCAGAAATAAATTGGTAATTTTTTTTATTAATTACCCAAATAGGATTTTCTATGCCTTAATCAGTTAATTGTCTGAAGATTAGTTAACTAAAATTGAATTAAACAACAGTTGATTTTGGTTGACATCTTTTGATTTAGCCCACCTCATTGAGAAATCTGGATGTTTTGTTTCACATAGAAATACAATCTGTGTAATGCACGAAGGATATATTCAATCTTTCTGCCATATTTTTATTTTCAAATTTTGGTTTTTGATTTTTTTTTTCTTATTAGAATGTAGAATTTTAGGATATTGATTTGTTAACTGAAGCATTGTACTTTGTTATTGGATTAATTTAACAGAAAAGCTGAGCATAATATGTGCTTATCACACCTATCCGTAGTCACACCTCTTTCTATGGATAGGTGTCCAAGATTTTGACTGAAAGCATAGTTGGGTTGGGTTGGGTTGAGTTGATACATGATACAAATAGTACATAGATGGTGGTGGTGTTTTAATGGTTATGAGTAAGATTGTAAAACCTCTTCCTCACAACATGAGTGTTTTCTTATTTTTAGGGTTAGTATCGGGCCTTAACAATTAGCAAGAACAAGGTTCAAGAAACATGTCTCCTCAGTCATCGAGTAATAAATTCTTACTTTTTCTAAAATTTAATTTGGCATTTTTAGCTATTGGTTACGTTTATATATTCATGTTTTACATACTGATTTTTTGTTTTTTTTTTTGTTTCTACATACATACATATAATATTGTTATGATGTGATGCTCGAACAATTTATTAATGGGAATTAAAGACTTGGAAGTTTAGTTTTCAATTTCAGAATATATGTTTTACAAGTTTATTAACGCTTTTGAAACTTTTCCTCTTTTGTCCTAATAATATAGGTCTTTTTTTTTTTTTTATAAGTAACATAGGTCTCTTTTCTGAAAGAAGAGAGTTGATTGGAATGGATGGAGTTGATAAAAAGAAAATAGTTATGTTTTTAGCTAATTGAATTATATAAATCCTCTTACCATTGTAGCAGTGATGTTGGTTTTAAAATGTTATTAATGGGAATTAAAGACTTGGAAGTTTAGTTTTCAATTTCAGAATATATGTTTTACAAGTTTATTAACGCTTTTAAAACTTTTCATCTTTTGTCCTAATAATATAGGTCTCTTTTTTTTTTCTTTTTTTTTTTATAAGTAATATAGGTCTCTTTTCTGAAAGGAGTTGATTGGAATGGGTGGAGTAGGGAAAAAGAAAATAGTATGTTTTTTTTTGCCTAGCTAATTGAATTATATAAATCCTCTTACCATTTTAGCAGTGATGTTGGTTTTAAAATGACCAATTATGATAGGAGGTCTCTTTTCAATTTATCTTAATCAAATGTATATCTATGCAAGAGGATTACGTGATTGTAGATGACGATTCTAGATGAGGATGTTAATGTCAACGTTGTTATGAGGATGTTGATGTCAACGTTATTATGAGGATGTTGATGTCAATGTTGACTCTAGTAATGACGACTGATGATGTTGATAATATGTTGATGCACTCAAATTAAGTCAAAGCACTTAGAATTGAAGGAAATTTAGAGTTGAAGACATACTATTGAGCATAGTGTCTAATTCTTTTAGTTACAAGAATCTTTGGTCACTTCACACACGATTTTTCAGTTCATGAAATTCTGAAACAATGGTGTGTAGTATGTTTCATCTACTTGGGCTCTCTTCTTTTTCATCTCTCTAAACCTTAATTTTATCTGTGAAAAAGAAAAAGAAGACTTGATGCAATTTTAATTTAACTTAATCAGTTTGAGCATTGGCAGAGCTTCTGAAATGTTGAAACTGAAACAGCAAAGAAGAGAGAGTCCACCAATAAGAATTACCCAACTTAGGACAAAATAAGCTCTCTGAACATCTTGACTAATATTTGCATGGGAGACTTCTGTGGATATAGACTTGTAGAGAGAAAGATATGGTTGGGGGCACAAAAGTGTACGACAACTGTGAACCAACTATAGGGTTGTGAGCTTTTGACTTGTTTCATGCATCGGATCTAGGAAGTGTACAACAATGAAATGGAAAGCTCTGATGCTCTCAAAGTTACAAACAGAGACAATAATTAATACTATATATTTATAACTTACTTTACTAATCTAATATGATACTACGTATATCATATATATATATATATATATATATATGTTTGTAACTTTATACTTAGATATATTTTGATTTAGCCCACCCCATTGAGATATCCTGGATCCGCCCTTGGATGTATTGTTGCACAAGAAATGATTTTTATCCTAAATACAGGTAGGTAGCCCATTCAATATTTATTATCTGTGCTCAACGGGCATCTCGTAATTAAAATTTATAAAATGACAATTTTACCCTTGTATAAAAGCATCATTGACTATTTACCACTTTTCAACGCGGGTGAAGTAAAACTACCGGTAGTAACAATTCCCTTGAATGAAGGGGTTTACTCCAACAGTCCCACTTGTTCATTCAAGGGAATAACACAAATTCTTTTTCTTCCTCGATTCTTTTCCTCTCTTTTCTCTTGTTTACACTCCTTTCCTTTTCCATCCGCAATTTCAATACAAACGCACTTCCAAGGGAATTGAACCCGATTACAGGGGAATTAACTGCTACGCTTGTTTACACTTCAGACCTTCGTCAACTATCAGGTTTGGTGCTCTCTCTCTCACTCTCTCTCTCCCGCTCTCTCCCTCTCTCCATTTGCGTTCTCATATTCATAGGTCTTGTATATAGTTGATTAACATTTTCGAGTCACCTCCTCGATTGTGTAAAATGAAATTGTGTATTTCAAGCATTCTATACATTTATACAGAAAACAGTTTGGCGAATTCTAAACTTACGACTGAAAATTAAGCTTTTTTGTGACTTATATATATATGTATATATCTAAATATATGCAGAATTGTATGTATGTCTATTTCTATAAAAAGTATAGTTGCAAAGTAAAATCAGCCTCATCTTATGTGCTCCACATGCTTGAAGAAATGTCCAAATCATAACAGGCATGTTTATTCGCATGTGTTTAATGTAGAATTATTTATTTATTTATTTATTTTTTCCCTTTTATTTTTTTTTTCTTATTGATTTTTGTTGAATTTGAATCTAGCAAAGAGGCCCTTTTGTTGACTTTTGAACTTTTTGGAATTTGACCATTTATGCTTTCTGTGTATATATATTGAATTTTCGATAACTTGTCTAATGGCATTGGCTATTCCTTTTTCTAAACATCTGAAAAATCAGTTAAACTCGACACTAAAATTTCCTGCTGTCCCGCTACATGGCCTTGTAACCCAGTTCCCATTACCTGGTTGTGAAGGGCTACATACTAGTTATATTGCTTTTTTAATGAGAAATTTGGATGTATTATGGTAATATTGACATTATACTTTTTTTTTCTTTTTTCTTTTTCTTTTTTTTTAATCATAGTTTAAAATAGGTGACTAATGCAAAACTTGTTCATCTTTCTGCAGTTTGTTGCATTTAGCATTATCACAATCTCCATGGGGCTAGGAGGAAGTTTTGAATTTTTAACATGAAAGCCATCTCGTCAAGTTAGTTTTTCCTGTTTAATATCAATTTGGGTAATGCTCTTATTATTATTAGATAAGAAATTGTGAGGAATGAATATACAAAATGAACACTATAAATATATAATTCAATTTCAGGAGAACTTTTGAAGTATCATCTGAATAGCTAAATATATATATCCAAAGATTTAAAGTTTATAGGACATCCGTGCTGCCAAAGCCATTTTAGGCTTGTGCAACAGTTAAAAATGCTGGCATGACATATAAAAATGAAGGAAGGGGTTAGGAGTTTGATTCTTATGCTGACAATCAATAAAATGAGGACATGGACATCAATATATATATATATATATATATATATTCCTAGTTGGTACTCACACACAACAAGGAATTGTTTGCACCTAGTAGGAATCGACCTTGAGACCTGATACTTCATGAGGCACTAGGGCCTAAGTATTTTCCAACTAGGCCAACCCCTTGGGGGCAAAATAAAGATCTTTTGGTATGTATGAGAATTCTAGGTCATTTTTCATGGTTGAATTGTAGTACTCGTGCGAATAAGTCATCTAAATTTTGACATTGAAATCTGAACTGATCAATTCTGAAAACTTTGAAGTCCTTTCTCTTAATTCATCTGATTTAGATACATGCTCAACTGATGTCAAGACAATTTTAGTTGGACTTCTACATCATTAATTTCGATTGTAGTCTTTGTTACTCACTAATTTTCCAATACTCCAGGTAGCTTGGAAGCCTTAGTTGTTTCGGCAGTATGATCAAATTTAAGAGCTGTCACAACAAATTATCTTTGGGTTTACTGTATGTGACCAGATTGTGCAGTTCAAATGCAGCAACGAGAGAGATACCTGATCCAACAAAAAAAATATGTAGTATTATAATTTCGTGTCCAAAAGTAGGGCTTGATACTGCTCTTGACCAGAGTGGGATTAGGGTTTCATCAGATGTAGTTGAGGTAATCCTACAGAGGTTTGAGAATGCTGGTATGTTGACGTATCGATTCTTTGAATGGGCTGGGAAGCAACGTCATTACGAGCACAGCGTCAGAGCTTACCACAGCATGATTGAATCTTTGGCCAAGATAAGGCAGTATCAAATCATGTGGGATCTTGTGAACAGCATGAGGAGCAAGAGAATGTTAAATATTGAAACATTTTGTATAATTATGAGAAAGTATGCTAGAGCAAAGAAGGTGGAGGAGGCAGTTTATACTTTTAATATCATGGAAAAATATGACATCCCTCCAAATCTAGCAGCTTTTAATGGCTTGTTGAGTGCTTTATGTAAGTCCAAGAATGTGAGGAAGGCCCAAGAGATCTTTGATAACATGAAAGATCGATTTGTTCCTGATTCAAAAACTTATAGTATATTGCTCGAGGGGTGGGGAAGGGATCCCAATCTGCCCAAGGCAAGGGAAATTTTCAGAGAAATGGTGGAAATGAGTTGTAACCCTGATATTGTGACCTATGGGATCATGGTTGACATTCTCTGCAAAGCAGGGAGGGTTGATGAAGCCATTGAAATTGTTAAGGACATGGACTCCACAGGCTGTAGGCCAACATCATTCATTCACAGTGTTCTGGTTCATACTTATGGGATAGAGAATCGGATTGAAGATGCTGTTGATACATTCCTTGAAATGGAAAGGAACGGAGTTAAGGCTGATGTCGCCATGTATAATGCCTTGATTAGTGCTTTCTGCAAAGTAAACAAGTTCCAAAATGTCTATAAGGTTTTGAATGAGATGGATTGCAAGGGTGTCACACCCAATTCAAGGACTTGCAACATCATTATAAACAGCTTGATAGGCCATGGAGAGACTGATAAGGCTTTTAGGGTCTTCCGCAGGATGATTAGGGTTTGTAAGCCAGATGCAGACACATATACTATAATGATAAAAATGTTCTGTGACAGGGACGAGCTTGAGATGGCTCTTAAAGTATGGAGGTTCATGAAGAAAAAGCAGTTTGTTCCGAGCATGCACACTTTTTCTGCTCTTATCAATGGGTTGTGTGAGAAGGCTAATGCTTCTGAGGCTTGTGTTCTTATGGAAGAGATGATAGAGAGGGGAATCCAGCCATCAAGGGTGACTTTTGGGAGACTAAGACAATTGCTTATAAAGAAGGGAAGAGAAGATGTACTTGAATTTCTTCACGAGAAAAAGAATCTTTTGGTAAAGGAGCCATTATGGGATTGAGAAGCCATGGCTTATGAGCTAAATAGAAAAATCAAGGTAGCTGATTGTTTGGTTTGCACAATGGAGATCTGGGAGTTGGAACTGCATGACCAATAGTGAACTTCAGGAGGTTAGATTTTCTCTCTGATTTTTTAATTTTTTTTGGAGACATTTTAACTTCTATTGCTGATTTCATTGCGTCGCGTCAATATATATTTAATTTTGTAAACAAAAACCATTTTTATTTCATATGAGGCTTGCTTTCAATTTTTTTTACCCATCTATAAACAAAAATCCATTTACACTAGTTTGAGGATTTATGTGGAGAAACACCACTGTGTTACATCCTTAAATACTCCTTGAATATTAAATCATCTATACTGAAACATTTGCTTCAGCCATCTATATAAAATGGGGGCAAATAGTAGTTGATAACAGTTAAAACAATTTAAAATGGGACAAAGTAACAATGAGAAAAGCATTAGGGTGAAGAAAAGAGAAGGCATAAGGAAAGAGACAACGGACGGCAAAAATATGTATGATACCTGCTCTGCAATAATCTCACTGTGGACCCCGTAGATCGAAGTACTTAATTATCTTCCATCAATTGCTGGAATTGACTATTTATATTGAAACAATTTTATTGGACGTAAGCATATCTTAATATAGGTGATTTACACATAATAGCAAATGAGTGTGTAAGGGATGTTTAATGACGATGACTGCATCTTTAAATATGTAGTCTTCAAAAATAGTAGTTGAATGGAAGGTCATGCTAAGTTTGAGCTTGTTGTTGGCTTGATGGTATTCAATTTACTATAATGCATAAAAAAATAAAAAAGGATAGAGAAACTCAGTTATTAGTTGATAATTGGTTAATCACCAAGCCACTGCTTGCTTATATTTTTTAGTTATATTTGACAAAAGTAGTTGGCCTGTGTGGCATGTATTATTGAAGGACAAGCTTATGTAAACCCCACGGGAAATGAATACATAAAGTGAATCTTTTGCAGTAGTGAATTTCATTTTTTATTCAAATGGGTTGTGGTCATGAGATTCCGTGATATTGATCAAATGGCACCTCATTATGGGGATGAAAAAGTTGGTTATATCTATGGAGGATATGTAAAATGAGGTAGACTATAGAGAATTAGAAACTTCTTTTGCAGCAGCACACTTCATATAGAATTTCTTACCGGGGCCACTGGTCAAGTTGGCTAACAATCTAAGGCAAAGGCATAACTACTGTACTTAATCAATTATCTGATTATTTAATTATTTAAAAAATTACGTAATAAACTCATTTAGATAAGAATTGAATTATATAATAAACTGATTTCCTCTGTTTTGCCCTGGGTAACACCATAACATATTGAAGAAACCATGAAATCCTGTTACGGAGAGAATACAAGTAGATGCCTTATAAAGACACATATTAGCATCTAGGAGAGCTTGATGGAGTTGCCACCATAATAATCTAAATCAAACTAGCTGGAATGCTCAAACCGTAAGAGTGGTGAAAGTCACTTTGTTTTTTGCCCTTCTATTGCACCACACCAGACACAAAATACACTTTCTTTTTTCCAGTAAGGAAAAATAAATTTGTTATGATGAAAAGAAAACTCAATGCAACATGAATATACAATTTGTGCCTTTGAATAAAGCAGGTAATCTAAATCATTTGTAGGATATGTTCAGTAAGTTCCTTTTAAATGCTGTCATAAATTTTACTTGGCTCTAACTACAGAGCCACAGAGGTTATATTCCTCTCTGTTTTTGTCTTGTAAACTGCTATCCGATCAGTTGCATCTTAGGGCAGAAGTACGTGCTTGAGATTGTAGAACCTATGGATAACTTCTTAATCTGTTTACTCTTGTTAGAAGTAATGGGATTTCGTCCCCACATCAACTCAGGACTATTGAATTATTTTTGGTCCCCCGACCCTCTTATTAGAGAAAGCCTTTCCTGGGAATTACCGTGTATAAAGTACACAAACACCAATAGTGTCTCAATAAATGCGATATAGAGTTCAGATGAAACCATTAGATACAAAGGTTCAATCTGAAATTGTAGTGATTGACATCCTGATGAGTGAAAATGATCTCTACTACAATTTAAATACTAGTATATGAGGGTCTGCAATGTGGTTCATTTTATCAATAGTAAACCAAATATATAGCTTTGTATAAATTTCTTGGTGTGAGGGCTAGTATTCCAATTTTGTCCGCTTTTAAATATCATGTCATGCTTTTGTCAGTTTTGCAATGCAATCCTATACTCTTGTCAAAAGTTAATTGGATCTTTGATAAAATTTATTTCATGCACCCTTCAAAGGAATCCTAGATTTGTTTGAAATTACTCTTTAGATTATGTTTCTATTATTAGGTTGGTATTTCCGCAAGGCATGAACTGAAGACAAATTTAGCAAGGGAAGTGTAGGAACCTTTAGATTATGCTCAGTATGTAGGGATTATATATTTAAAAAAAGCATTTAGAGCCTTTAAAATTGTTGTGCTTCCTGTGGGTTCATGCTGATGAGTAGGAAGTGGGTGTATTATATGTAATCCGATAGGGTGGTCTGAGTTAGATAGAAGTTGAGACTAACTTCAGAAAGAGAGAGAGAGAGGGTTCAGTTGGAATTTTTCAAAATAAGTTTTAAAAGGGATCCAGTTACTCCGTCCGGTATGCTAAAATGTCTCAGTTTTGCCAATGTCTTAACCAGTTCTGAGGTTTGCTTTGAACATGCACCAGATATAGTTCGTTTCCTGGGTGAGATTCAGGCAGTGCTTTCCTCAATGTGGAGCTCATATGTGGTTATGCCACTTGTACCCAACATAGTAAAATGAAATGCTGCATATACACCGAGTCTGTCTGATAAAGGTGTGGTCAGGGCAGCATTGCAACCACAGGGATAGCTGGTGTGCTAGGGTGGCGCCGAGATGGCTAGTTTTTCCACCAAGCTTCGCTACGTTACAAAGCTTCATCACAGCCTGATGGAATGCCTTCATGGGTTGATGCAGCGCAATTCCATAAATGGTGGCCGCGTATGGCGGGTAGGGTTCAATGTAATGTTATGACATTATAGCATGCATATCTCCTATGGGAGGGATTAGGAATCATGTGATGTTTCAGGTCAGGTCAAGGTTAGGGTAGAGCTCAGGATAGATTGACTTTAAACAACAAATCAACCAATCAAGTTCTCTTAGCAGCATCCCAATGGGTTATAAAATGTCTGCATATTGCAAGGTGGAACATATCTTAAACTGTAGGGGCTGTAATACATCCGCTATCAGCTCCCAAACAAGGCATCGCATGAGGTGCACTGGATATAATGGTCTTAATATGCCAGTGGAGAAAGGCAATGAGGATTTTATGAGGAGTAGAGGTCCTCACGATGTCATGTACATTCCTTTTGTGGAGGCAACAGGGCTTATTCGAGGAAAAGAGGTTCTTGCAGCATGATGTATGTGCCTATGAAAAAGAGCATCAAGTGTACTGGTCTTATATGCTCACGGAGAAGCTAGTGAGGCTTATATGACAAGAAGAGCTCCTCGCGTTGTCATTTACATTCCAGTGGCAAAGGCAACAAGGCTTATTCGAGGAGAAGAGATTCTTGTGTCATGATATATATGCCTGTTGAGAAGGAAATGAGGCTTATTATCTGAAGAGAAGATCCCTGCAACATCATGTAATGTTTGTGGACACTGATGGTTCCCATCAAAGATATCATCTAAGCCTGTTAAGGAGTCAACGTGATATCTTGCATCAACACCTGTGTGGATGTTAATATGAAGACCAGAGGTTTGTAAAGAGAGACAATTTTGCATGGTCAAGAAGTGCACCGATAGAGTTTGTTGAAGACCATAAGTCTGCCAAAGAGAAGGCAAAAATATAAAAATAAAAACAATACTTGTTGAGAGTGAGAACACAATAGGCATTTATTTATTATTTTTTTTTTTAAAAGTAAAATTTCATAAAAGAAGCCTTCAAAAGGGGAACACATCCCTTAGAAGATAGACAAGGCCTAATTAACTATTTTCTCCTTGGATTTACAATTTCTCCCTAGAACCCAATAAAAAAGAGTGCTAGAAATGGAGAATTTAAACACCCCAATATGATTCTCCTTTCCTTCGAAGGATCTCCTATTTCTTTCAAGCCATAAACACCACCAGACACACAAAGGCACAACTTGCCAGAAATCACGAACTTGGGCCCCCACTATACAACCTCTCTTCCTCATCTCTCTTACACATGTAACACCAATTGATCGACTCTCTTTCTCTCTCCAGTTTTATATTTGCTTTTCATATATATAGATTTTAAAATTTTAAAAGTACCCCCCTTCAAAAAAAAATTATATATTTATTTTGTATAAATATAGAATTTTATAAGTTCTAAAATTGTTCCATACTACTAATTCTAAGCCTCAAATTTAATCTCTCTGATCATTGGACACTTCATATCTCCATCTTTAATCCTTTGTTTTCTTTGTTACACGGATATTTTTCAGCGGTTTTTCTTTAATGAAAGATCACAATCTCTAAGCAGGGTATGAAAAAAAGACCTAAATAAAAAATTGTCTACTTCTCTTTAGACTCTTTTATTGTATAATATATCAACTTGTCAAATGAAATGCTGCATATACACCAAGTCTGTCTGATAAATATGTGGTCAGGGCAGCATTGCAGCCACAAGGATATATAGCTGGTGTGCTATGGTGGCACCAAGATGGCTAGTTTTTCCACCAAGCTTTGCTACTTTACAAAGCTTCATTGCAGTCCGATGGAATGCCTTCATGTGTTGATGGGCAATTCCATAAATGGTGGCCACATATGGCAGGTATGGTTCAAACTTCAACATAATGTTATGACATTATAGCAAGCATATGCCCTAAGGGATTAGGAATCATGTGATGTTTCAGGTAAAGTGAGTGTGTAGCTCAAGATAGATTGACTTCAAACAACAAATCAAGTACTCTTAGCATCCCAATGGGTTATAAAATGTCTGCATATTGCAAGGTGTAACATATCTTGAACTGTAGAGGGCTGTAATACATCCACTATCAGCTCCCAAACAAGGCATTGCATGAGGTGCATTGGATATAATGGTCTCAATATGCCAGTGGATAAAGGCAACGAGGCTTTTATGAGGAGAAGAGGTTCTCACGATGTCATGTACAATCCTTTTGTGGAGGCAACAAGGCTTATTCAAGGAGAAGAGGAGGTTCTTGCAGCATCATGTATATGCCTATGGAAAAAAGCATTAAATGTACTGGTCTTATATGCTCATGGAGAAGCTAGTGAGGCTTATATGACTAGAAGAGCTCCTCACATTGTCATGTACAATCCAGTGTGAAAGGCAGCAAGGCATATTCGAGGAGAAGATATTCTTGTGTCGTCATCTATATTCCTGTTGAGAAGGCAATGAGGCTTATTATTTGAAGAGAAATGATCCCTGCAACATTATGTAATGTTTGTGGAGTGGGATGGGTCCCATCAGAGATATCATAGGAGCCTGCTGAGGAATCAACATGGTATCTCTGTAGCAACACCTGTGTAGATGATAATAAAAAGACCAGAGGTTGTTTGTAAAGAGAGAGACGATTTTGCATGGGATCCTGAGAATTGAACTCGGGGAACTCTTGCACCCAAAAATCTTGCAATTTTCATCTTGATGCATATACTCTAAATTGTCTGTGATTCTTGTATATAAAGTTGCTGGAACTTTTGTTTGGCATAAAAAATTAAAATTCTGCAATGGAAGCAATGTTCTTGCTTTTCTGTTAAATTTCTGATAAATGAGATATGTCACTGAATTGTCTGTTTTATATTCTTGACAGTGGGGAAATGCGGTCCAGCATTGTTGAGATGCTCTGGAGATATTTAAGCTCCATAAATCATTTGGGAGATTTGAGCACTTTCAGTTTCATGTCTTGGATTATTGGTGGGGTTCAGTTTCATGTTGGGGTTCAATTTGACTTCATTGATTGCAGGTTATGAATTTTTTTCCCCCTATTTTTAAAAAAATTTGCTGTCTTGTGCAATATAAGGAATCTGGCAATGCATTCTGGACCACATTTTGTCGTGTAGATTGTCATAGCATTCCTCAGCAACAAATTGTATGAACATTGTTGGAATAGTGTATATTTATGTTGGGCCCAAAGTTTAGTTACTTATAGATTGTGGGTTATTATGTAATTAGGCTATTTTTACATTTTCATACAACCTGTATTATGCTTAGGGTTTCTAATATATGTGAATCATGTTTCAGCCTCCATCTCCATCTTTCTACAAACATCAACTTTTATGATAAGTCTTTGAATGCTTTTAGAGGAACACCTCCAGGTTTCTTGATTGGTCCTCATTTTAACAGATGATCCTCAACAACGAGTTGTATCAGTTTCCACTTTGATAATCTATCTTTGAATTCTCTTGGGCGAACACCTTCATGCTATGTTTGAGAGTACCGAATTGACGACTTGGGTTTGAAATTGGAGAAAATTTAGTTCAAAGTTTTAACTAAATTTCCTTCAAATGAGAGTGTAGCTACTTAATTTGTTGGGTCTTTGGCTTGTATTTATTATATTCATAATGTAATCACCTTTTAAGATTATGAGGATTTATGGAATACAAGTTTTTTTCTATGAAGATTGTGAGTTTTGATAGTTTGCTTTTGCATTTTACATTATGGGTGTTTTCTTGTGCAATTTTTGTATTGGATTTTGGAATCCTTGGCTTTGATGCGAATACATGTTATGTTTGGGTGCGTTTAGTAACGTTTTCGTTTTTTGTTTTTTGTTTTTGCGCAAAGAAATAGAAACATAATTTTGTTTTTCGAAGTAAAAGCAGAAAGCAAAAATAACGTTTAATAACTTTTGCTATTGTCACAGTTTTAATAACAAAAAACAGAAAGCATTGTTTAGTAAAACATTTGTTACAAAATTATTTTTTTTTGAAAATTTTTTTAATTTATTTTTTCATTCATCTATCAAAATTTAACTTTCAATCACAATAAAAGATATAATCTAAAAAAGAAAAACCAATACCTTAACAAGCAATAGTAAAATCACAGTTCTTAATAATACATAGTAATAAAATTTATTACGTCTACACCATAACAAATAATATTAAAGTCACAATTCTTAATAATACATAGTAATAAAATTCATAACAATTACATAAATCCACAACCCATAAATGCACAACAATCCGAAAAAGGAAAAAAAAATTGTATAATGTATGTATATATATATATATATATATATATATATATATATATAGAATATAAAAATAGATTTTATATATACATATATATTAACAAAAAAATCTAAAAACAAACCACAACCCATACATGTACAACAAAAATACAGGGCAAGATAAGCGTACAGTTGTATAATATATATATATATAGAATATAAAAATAGATTTTATATATACATATATATTAACAAAAAATCTGAAAACAAACCACAACCCATACATGCACAACAATCAGAAAAAAGGAAAAAAAAAAAAAGTACAAGCTTACAGTTGTATAATGTATATATATAGAATATAAAAATAGATTATATATATATACATGTATATTAACAAAAAATCTGAAAACAAACCACAACCCATACATGCATAACAATCAGAAAAAGGAAAAAAAAAAAAAAAAAAACAAAACAAAAATACAGGGCAAGATACTAGCAAAGACTGATTCTCCTCCTAATCCGAAACAAAAAAAAACTATTAAATCCACAACCCATACACGTATAACAATCAGAAAAAGGAAAAAAAAAAAAAAATACATGTCAAGATACTAACAAAACTAATTCTCCTCCTAATTCGAAACAAAAAAACTATTAAATCCACAACTCATACATGTACAACAATCAAAAAAAAATAAATAAATAAAAAATACAGGCAAGATACCATTCAAGTCTCAGATCTATTGAATAAAGGAGAGAGAATGAGATAGGAGGACGTACCTTTATGAGAAGAGAGAAAGAGAGACATGAGCCGTGTGATGATGAGAGAACAATGTGATTAATGAAAGAGAAGAAGAAAGTACTATGGAGTAATGTCAGTAGTTGTGTATTAATGGAAGAGTAGTCAGTTGTTGCGTAAAAAACGAGAAAAATAGTGGTGAAAACGTTTCCTCTACTACAGTGAAAAAATACAGGAAACATCATTTTGATGTTTTTTCTTTCTTTCACAAAAATAAGAAATGTTTTTCATTAAGAGAAAACAAAAACAAATTACTAAACAAGATTTTTGTGTTTGTTTCTCCTTTTTCAGGATTGGCAATAGAAAACAAAAAATGTTTTGGATTACTAAACACACCCTTAATGAGTCGTTAAGGACCCATTTATGCTTTTATCCAAAATAAAATAATGAAATTAAATTCTTGGAACCGAAACATGTCTATTGTTTTCAAATTTTAAAAAAGTAAAATAACTTAAGCAAGTTCAATTATTTTGTTTTTTGAATTAGTAGATTTGTAATTTTTACAAGAGCCCCCACCACGAACAGAGAGAACACAGCAGACGAAATTCCAACAGTAATTGCCTCCATCCTAGGCAAAATTGAATATATATATATTACACACTATTTTCATAACAAAATAAAAAAATTCAAAGCCCAGAAGAGAGGAGAGCACTAATTCCAAGTCACATTGCCCATAAGCACCTTATCTGAAGAAACTCATCCAAAACCGAAGTCATGCAATACAAAGAAAGTCTGCCCATATCAACGGACAGTGATCTAACGGTATCAGATTTAAAGATGTAAGTCTCAGTAAAAACATGTATGTGAATACAATTAAGATAATAAAATTAAATTAAAAAAAAAAAAAAAAAATAGTCTGCGCATTGGTTTAAGCTATTTTGGTCTTGTAACAAACATAACATGTATTCGCATCAAAGCCAAGGATTCCAAAATCCAATACAAAAATTGCACAAGAAAACACCCATAATGTAAAATGCAAAAGCAAACTATAAAAACTCATAATCTTCATAGAAAAAAAAATTGTCTTCCATAAATCCTCATAATCTTAAAAGGTGATTACATTATGAATATAATAAATACAAGCCAAAGACCCAACAAATTAAGCAGTTACACTCTCATTTGAAGGAAATTTAGTTAAAACTTTAAACTAAATTTTCTTCAATTCCAAATCCAAGTCGTCAATTCGGTACTCCTAAACATAGCATGAAGGTGTTCGCCCAAGAAAATTCAAAGATAGATTATCAAAGTGGAAACTGATACAACTCGTTGTTGAGGATCATCTGTTAAAATGAGGACCAATCAAGAAACCTGGAGGTGTTCCTCTAAAAGCATGCAAAGACGTATCATAAAAGTTGATGTTTGTAGAAAGATGGAGATGGAGGCTGAAACATGATTCACATATATTAGAAACCCTAAGCATAATAAGGTGCTTAGGGTTGATGTAATTGCATCTTTGCTGCAGATAAATGTTACTGATTTTGTTTGGCATTTTATCTCTTGCTGAAATGACTATAACAATACTATATTTGATAATATAGGTGCAACATCCAAGTCATTCAATTTTTTATTCGGATCGATGTGGGATTTGTAACATTCTTTTCTATCTGAATACGTGACGTTTTTTGTGCAGTCAGGTCACCTGCCTACCAAGGAGGATTCACCTGGATGTTTGGCGTGGCACCAGATTAAAAATTGGGTCTGACTCTCATACTAATTGTAACGAACGGGTGTTTCATGATTCGACCTAAAAATTTAAGTTATTAAGTGGAGTTGACACCCAACTCATATATAACCATTTAATTTTTCATTCGAATTCGATGCGAAAGCTATAAAAGCTACCATACGAAAAATCCCCAACTTCGAGTCTATTTAAATGTATTATCGTGGAAATTTAACTTAGAATTTCAAGAAACTTATATGTAATGAAAACAAAAAGATCATTTTCGTCGATCTTTCCTTTTGATACCGGTATTGTTACCGTTTTTCTTGCTTCTCTTTTGGTTCTAACCCTCTATCTCTACTCTTTTGTCGTCTTTTTTCTATAGTTGTTTTCGTATGTTCCTCTTCATATGAAAGTATACCATGTTTTAATCCCCATGGCGAAGTACCTGATCGTTTGAGTTGTGGCTTTCTGGGTAGCCATAGAAATTGGACCATGGGTGGGTGTTGAAGGCCTTCTTGCTAAGGCGAACATGATGGTAAGAAACGGAGATGACTGACTTAGAAGAGGATCCGGGGTCTGAGAATGTACAGGCGCAATTGTTGGAGGTGGTGGCATAGGAGGTAAAGGAGGTTGATTCAACGGAAATTTCTGGTCATACAATCCTTGAGAACGTGTACTTAAAGAAACAGCACCAGTTTGTTGCAGACCATGCTTCAGATAGAAGTTGTGTGGTGGCATCCTAGAATCAACAGGTACAGATGATGTGGAAGCCTTATTATAAACCATGCCAGGAAATCCATAACTACTAGCTGCTGCACCAGAATCAAACCCCCTGGAGATCTTAATTGGAACATTATTTATGTCATCAGAATGCTCGTCATACTTCTTATCTGAAGAAATACTTGGTTCCCGAGTCAATGGCATCTCAGGGAGCGAAACCGACATCCTTGAAGAAAATTCACTCTGGCTATTTTCATCAACATTGGATGCTAATGGTGGACCCAAGTGAAAAAACTGACTACTTCCATTCACATCGCTCTCTGTTTCCTCAGCAACAGGTGAAGGCTGCAGTGGATTATCGTCTGGTTGAGGGAACGGCAGCTTATCATCAGATTCTGATTCCTCACCTTCAAACACTATATCAATACCCTGAAGATCGTCATCAAGATCTGGTTTCA